AAGCCCAAGTTTGCCTTTCCTAGTACTAAAAAAAAAAAAAAAAAGGGGCCATGACTACTTTGCTTTTATAGTCTTGTTTATTTCTGCCATCTAAAATAATTCTTTGGTTTTCAATACTTACTGGTTGCCAATTCTGTTCAATAATATGATACCAAACTCTAGTCTGGCTTTATAATCTCATCACAGAATATTTATTTGAGCTAATTTGTGTTTGTAGAATTTTGTTCTCTGATCCTAACATCCCATCCATAGCTTTAAGTGTATTGTTTAACTGCATGCCTAAGTAAAAATCCTTAAAGCATTTTCTCATAGTTCCTGTGATACATTTAGCACTGCTAATACAAAGTCGCCCAGTTTTGAAGTTTGGTTATTTTTAATTAACAAAATTGGTGTTTGTTTATTCTTTTTTTTTTTTTTTTAATAAATAATAAAAGTCAACTGTGAGAAACAGTGGCCAAGATAAAGCAAATTAACCTCAGAATTAATTTCAGAGACAGCATAACATGAAGCTGAAACAATTCATCCAGAAAAGGTTCATTTCATCAACATTTCTGTTTGCAACTTCCAACAGTCTAAGAACTTCCTCTTTTAAGAAATTTCATGTATTTTAAGAAATTCGGTGCCATCTCACAGGACTACCTGAAAACTGACACAAGGTATTGCTGAGATCAGAACTGATGCCTGGTGTTCGGGGGAGTTACCAGCCAGCCCTTCTCCCTGGCTGCAGCTGAGCCCCCCCGGCACCCCCCGGCCCCAGCCTGTGCTCGGGATCTCTGCTTGGCCAGAGCTGAGCTCCGGTCACCGCTTCTGATGACATTTTAAAAAATTCTTCTTACAGAATCTGTATGAATCATCACTTTTTTTTTTTTTTTTTTTTAAGAGCACTTGAATTTCACAATGTTCAAAAAGTTACATCTTAACTGTTATGAAAAAAAGAAAATAAAGAGGACTTAGAATCTTTAGAACCACTTACCTGTGTCAGAACTTCACCCTCTAGCTTATGACCACAAAGCAACAAGCAGGGCTGCATCTTCCACTACCTCCTCTGCTAAGCCAAAACAGCGCTATCACAAAACTGAGAATGATTGCAGCAGTTGTACATGTCACCTGCAGCTATGCCTTTTCCCCTCTGCTTTCCATTAACCTGCACTTCTGCAATTATCACAGGTTGTAGTCTTTGCAAAGACTAACTCATGTGATTTGCAATAATATTCCAAGACAATCATAATATCTAGAACTTAAGAACCAACACACATACTAGTTTTTGCAGGTCCCACAAAAAAAAAGAAATCTACTGATATTTGTCAACTTGTTTTAATTTTTAAAGGAATCAAATTAAAATCTGATTATGTTTCCATTCTTGAACAAGCTATTATGAATTATGCAGGCAGAAATCAAGCACCTCTTTCTGATCCGGGACCCTACTGAGCTGCTTGTCCTAAAACACAAACAATTATCAGCAGAAGTTGCTGTGTATACCTACTACTTCCTCAGATCCTCAGGTGCACATGCAGAGCCTGCCTTGACACATCCATTTCTGTAAATCTCATACGCTAAACAAGATGCAAACTCTAATGCAGCTGCAGATCAAAATGAGTTAGCCCAAATTTCACTAAACCCTTACACTGAAAATTTCTGAGTAGTTGGAGGCCTCTATAAAGTGAAATACAGTCAGTGGGAAGCTGTGCTGCAGCTGGAGAATAGTGCCCACACAGAAAAACTCCTGGTCACCATCACAAAAAAGCAGAATGCTCTTGGTGACACTTTTGGTGCAGGGTTGTCAAAGGAAAGCTTAGCAAAGAATGAAGAGAGATAGAAGCTAGCATACAATATATGGAAGAAGCAAATAAATATGCTGATACCTACATATACTGGGAACGATTCTACTTGATTTGATCATAAAAAAAAAAAAGAAGCGGCTCTTGCTGGCTGCAGCTCCAATGTCACGTGCAAGGAAAACAGAGAGCAGGCTGCAGCTTTTTGTTTAGGAAATTTTCAGTTTCAGTGTTTCATCTCTGCTGTAGACCTAAACAGACCTCGAGTCTAATTTTCCCGCATCTGTACCTGTAGCAAATACAAGGACAAAAATACCACAGAACAAATGACAAGCTTTTGGTTAACAGAATTAATTACAATCTTTCTTAGGTGTCAAAAGTGAAAGAAAAGAGATCTCTCTGCTCTTACAAAGCATTGCAATCTGTTATAACTCTACTACAGACTAAATTTAAGACACTATAAATACAAGATGCATTATTTCAGGTTGGCCTTAAATTCTTTTCATTTTTTCTATTTTTTGTTTTAAACACAGATCAAACATGCATTTCCAGAATAATCAGTTCCAGTCAAGCTCAAAGGATATCTACTCTGAACTGCAAAACATCACAAGATTTTAGATCATCTTAGTGAAATACATAACTAGTTTTGTATCTGACAACAAATTGTTTAACTAATTATCTGTACTGTTACTTTTGAAGGAAGAAATGATTTATGGAAGTATGCCATGGCTCCACAGACCGCTGCACTGGCAAAATATAATATTGCAGGGCTGCTAGCACATGATACGCCTAACATTACTGGCAGCCTTTTCACAATTTTTATACTTAATTCATCTGCAACCAGAAGTTTTCTGCCTCATTCAATCTTTCCTATCAATACAGCATTTCTGCCTTACCACAATATTCTGAATTTAGTTTCAGGAAGTCAGTACTGTGTGCACCACATAGCACTTTTGCCTGTTCAAAAGGCTGCAGGAAAGTAGGGCAGGTGTTATTTGCTTTGTCCTAAGGATCATCTTCAGGTCGGTACTGTACTTGCATCGAGTCAGGCACTGAGCAAAACAACCCTGTTCTCACTGCCCTGGCAAGCCTAGGAGAGAGTCAGGCCTAGTAACAGGAATTATTCCTTCATACATCTTACCAAAACATCATCTCGTTTTAGGAGGAATGAATTCTATTGACCTTTGGTAAAAAGTGACTGGCTATAGCAAAATAGCCTGCATAAAGGATAAAATAAAGAAGGGAAAATTAGATGAGCGGTGGCTGGAAAATCCAAGGGATTACCAAAAGTGTCATGATTAAGGAAAGACTAGAAATCTGAAAAATCACACCTATTTAAACTCTAAGCTAAAGGCTAGCACATACTGAACAATTTGCAAGCTTGCCTCTAGAATGGCTGTGGAATACACAGCCCGTGATAAATTCAGGACACAGCTTCACTTGGGATTAGGCCCTTTATTATTGCTTCTGATGTGCTCTGCATTTCAGAATCAACCAGGGGGTATAAGGAGGATCATCTTCTACCAGGAAAAGATAGCAAGTGAACTTTCTTCTTTGCCAAGGGATTGCAGTTTCCTTGAAAGAAGAATGTTTTCAATTATTCAAAAACTGGCACAGCACACAGCACCAAGATCCTAGACCCTGCAGCTTTCTGAACTCAGCAAGTTCCTTCAGCTCCTGGCAGCACAGTGTGAGCAAAGTCTAGATCCAAGATTACTAACTTCATAACTTCTGGATTTGTCAGAGAGCGTTCTCCCCAAAGCGGCTACGTTGCATGTAGGACACAATTCTATAGCACAATTTGTAAAAGCACAAGAAATTCCTAAGTGTCAATTCACAGACCACAAAAACCATATGCAGCCAGCACAGAAAACAATTCTGTGCCTTCTTGTATGTGCAAGAGGAGGCAGACACACTGCTGAACTACTTACTCTGGTAGCAGAACCAGAAGGTATCAGGGAACAGTTTCAGGATCATCAAGTTCCTCAAGCTGGAAGGAGCAGCAAGGAATAGGGATCCTGGGAGCACGGTCATTTATTAATCACCAAACATAAGCACTACCTTCCCTCCCCCTAATAAACTGTCTACCAATTAATATTTTTTTTTTTTTTTTTTTTTTTTTTTACTCATACACATGACTACATAATTTCCCAAATTCTTCCTTGTATTCACGATACAAGTCTGGGACTTCAGAACACAGGGTGTTCAAAAAAACCACCAAAGTCAAACAAACAAAATCGTACCTTTAGCGTGAAAGAGATGCATATTACCATCTAAAGCTAAAATTTAGTCAGTGTAAGACTACAACCACAACACCCAGTGTTTTCAGTGCCAAGTTCTGTACAGTGTGTCAACTGTCAGAGAGGTAAGGAGGGCTGGAGCTCGATGCACCAACTGTCAAATAAAATAGATGAAAACACTGACTCTTCCGTTTCTTTTTTAAATAAATTTCACACACGGATGACTAGCAAGAAATCCATGTTCATACATTAACTATAAGCTATTGAACAATCCTCACTATTTCTTAAGTAATTTGAGTCAAAACTAATGCAGTATTATGAAAGACAAGACCTACTAGGTCTTTTGTCACTATGTTTTTTTGATTGTGAGTTACGGCATCAGTTCTGCAACACTCCTTCCTATTACGAGAGGAATTTATAGTTACAACTGCAGTTGAAAAAAAAACAAAACAAAACAAAACCCTTTTCACCCATTAAATTTGTGACTACATGGCATTCTCCTAGCAGATTTTCATAGGTCTTCATGTTCCACAAAAGTTTTTGTCAAAGCTAAAAATTTTGATGGTGGTAGGTCAAGGCACGGTTTCCATGATGCAATTTTCAGTGAACTTTGCCTAATGATCACAGCATCTTAACTGTGAATCACATAATATCTGTGACCTAAATTCTACTTAGAAACAGTTTTACCCCTTCTTTCTGAAAAACAATATACATTTATCTTGTACTAGTTTGTTAATATGTAGAAATAAATCTTTGGGTTTTAACAACCAAGTTAAATATTACACTAAATTAAAATTTTTGAAAAATACAAAGGAGTTATTGGTTTACCAATTCTAACTTTATAATGAACACTGAAAATGCAGTTGATATGTCTATTGCTTAACAACTGCAAATTTTACAGATGGGTCTGAAAGTTATCAGGCTCTTCTGCAAACATACAGTTCTCTGAAAAGATACTGATTTATAGAAGACCCCTAACAAACTATTGCAGCCTTAAAAGTCATTTACTTTACAGTGTAATACCTGCAACAATACAATACTTAAAATAGGAGTTACAGCATAGGTAATGGAACATAACTTGGAATTAGAAATGACTTTAACCCCTTGTGATGACATCTTAAAAAGTATTTGAATACAAAACTTCCAAGCTCACTTTAAGAGGTCAACACATGAATTCTCAGAGAGGTCACCTGCTGTTGACAAACCTTGTACTATTCACCCTTAAAACTCACTGCAGTTTGTTACATTTTAAGCATGAAAACCACACCTTCTCGTCCTTTCAAGAAACTGTTCCATTCAAAGATTTTGACAGCCAAGATACATGTGAAGTGAAAAATCAGTCATCACTGTTCAACATCATTTTAATCTCCACCAAGGGAAAATAATATACACATTAACACAAACAGAAAAATGTTTTGGAAAAGACCATACGGTCCTATGGCAGGGTTTTAGTTTATAGAAAGGTAATTTATAGTTTTATAAAATTATATGAAAGAGTAACAACATCTTTCATTAACATCAGACAGTATAGAAAAAATAAATCTCAACATTAGTTGTATTCTGATGGTCCTTCTAGTAAGAAATTTAAAAGTGCTTTTTAATAACAGTGTTGCAACTCAAGATTAGTGCAATTGTCAAATCTGTTTTAAAGCAGATATTTATAGCAATTGTGCAAGTTCTTACAATTAACATAGCCCAATCTAAAAATTAACATTAAGTGAGGTAAGTATTCTAATTAAAATTCAACATTCCTTAAATAGCTTAAACACCAATTCTACTACAAGGAAAATACTGGTGTTCCTTCATAGAAAGGCTCAAACCTAAACATGACATGAAACTTGTACTACAAATCAGTGAACACTTGGAAGTTAAAAAAGCTCTTGCAAAATACACAGTTTAGTATGTTTACAACCCAATGCTACACACAGTACCGAATGCAAAATATACCAACTTAAATAAAACCAAACTTTACAGTTAATGTACTTAATTTGCTTTTGAATACATGATTTTGTTCAAATCCTCCTAGAAGCTCCCATATAAAGTTAGCACATTAACTTAATGTAGAAATTCCACTGTATTTTTATCGGTAAATATGAACAATTTGATTACCAATTATGACTGCAGCTATGAGTACCATTACTCTTCAAGCAAGTGAAAAAACACAGCAAGAGTTGCAGAAAAAAAATATCTAAATTTACTCTTCACTGTTTTATACATGATAAGCTGGCAAAGATAAAAGATACCCTATATTTCTATATATTTTCTTCAAGAATTCTCAGAACTCTAAAATTAGTTTTCATTTTGTTGTAGCTTCTTTACTCTGACTTACGATGCATAGTAACTACTGCCTTTTATATGCAGGCCTCATTTTAAGAGAGGCAAAAACTAGACTGTTAATGCTAGGCCCTTATGGCTCATTTGCATATGGAGCCAAAGGCATTTCATGTTTTATTTCTCAAGGTGTTTATAAGTACTATTTAAGTCACTATCAACAACAGGAATAAAATATATATTAACGAACTTTTGTTCTAACAGGCTATGGCTTTAAAAGCCTACCAACTGAACCATTGTTTATAGTATTGCACTTAACTTTAGTATTAAACTGACAGTTGAAGCCCACACAGAAGTCATTTTATAACAATATTTCAATTAAAAAAGCAATAAATAAAATGCAGTGTCTAAAAAAAATGCCAGTAGGTTTAGTCTGTATTTCTCCCACCACAGCCCAAACTGCATCATCTAAAACAGGTCTGGGACAGAGTTTGGATACCAACTGCATAGTTCTTTCAACATAATAGCCTACCCATAACAATAAGTGAAGCAATTAAAGCTTTCTACAGTAATATTATAAACTGACAGTACCCTTGAGTATATGTCTCAATTAGCTTAAAAGGATTTGTTGCCTTTGCTCGAGACAGCTTCAGAAGTTAGACACCATTATGCTGGGACTGGATATTATCTTTACTGTGTTATTTTACAGGTACGTTGATTCTTTTTTTAAATATGTTATGTTAACCCTGATAATGATGCAGAGACTTCCCGCTCCTGAACCAGGAAGTTGTTTCCAAAAATTTAGTAACTTGTCATTGCAGTGACAAGTTGGTCAAGTCTTTAGCAGAGTCTCTAATCATCTGTTCTACCTTGGGATTTTCAGCTCCACTGGTTGCTAGCTCCTTGTCAATAAGCCCCAGGTTGTGCAAATTGAGGATGGAATCGGCGATAATTCGTGCTGTCCTCTTCTGGTAGCCTCCAGATGTCACCATCAGGATTGGGATTCTGCGGCTTCTGGCAGCCTTGAACACAACTTCATCTCTCTTCACAATTCCCTGCGAGTTTACAACAGTTAAAAAAACAAAACAAAACACAGTGATACAAATATGATATTTTAGTTCTAGCCTGCCGTTTATGGATTTATAGTATTGGATGCTTGATAAGTGATTAATATGAATAAAAAATTCATTGAGAAGTCCTATTAGCAGATTTACATGCATAATCATTAAAAAAAAAAAAAAAAGAAAACCAGAAAAACAGCAAATCTAAAATACTTGATTTGGTTTTAGAGGACACAACAGATAAAAAGTCTTTAGTATAAATCCCTAGAGGAATTCCTGCTCAAAGGCCATCAAGTTTAAATTGACTACAGAGTTTAGAAAAGTTCACCCTATTTTACAGGTGAGGAATTGAGACTTAAGAAAGACTGCCTGAATTCAAAGTGCTTTGGTTTGTGCTCACTTGCATAGCACCCTCTGACAAAAGTTTAACAACTTGATCAAGATTTCACAAACCTACAGAAGAACCAAAAATTCAAATCAGACTCTATACGTTCACAATCACTAGCTGAATTTTAAGTTTCCAGTTGCTTCAATAAAGGCTAATACTAAAAGAATCTACGGCTGAAGGGGGAGTTGCAGAATGTAAGTAACTGTAAATCTGTAGAAAGGAAAAGAAGTTCTAACCTCCAATAAAGAAAGGTATGGAACTAAAAAACACCAAAGCACTGACCAAGAGGTGCTGTACTGTCACTGAACAACAGAAGACTTTGAGTCTCTTGGGTTTCAAATAAGTACATGTGGGAAAAAGAGAATTCAGAAATAACTGAGAACACAATTAAAATCCACTTTTGTGGAAAAAGTAAAAGCTGAGAGTTCCAGAGATACATAGGAAGCATAAATATTCCATTGCAATTCCTCAAAAAAAAAAAAAAAAGACTAACAACATAATAGACAACAGCTTACAATGGACAGCTCAAAATTAAAATAACTGCAAAAGCTGGAGAAGGGGAAAGGGATTAAAATGCAATCAAGTGCAAAAAATTAGGAAGCAGGAGCAAACGTGTTACAACAAGATGGATATACACTACTCAGACTGGTTAGAGGAAGACTGTAAATACATCAAGAAATATTACCCTGCCATTAAAAAAAATTAGACCACAAACAAATGGTAAAGGGAAAGAATAAAATTCCAATGTATCTGGAAAAAAATATTTTGTAAAACCATACCACGGTAATGGTTTTTGTACAGTTTGACACAGCCCTGTAAAAGAACAATGGGAGTAAGGAATAATAACTGAAAAATAAGACAAAGGGAACTGAAGAATTATGTTAGGAACAGATTCTTAAAGGAAGTATCAGAATTACAGAATGAGATGTACGTCCCCTGGGAACCACTGCTGGATGCAGCAAACATTATACCACCCAAGATCTGGAAGCAGTCACTATTCACAGGAGCCTAACCACCTCATCCCTGGCTCCAGCATCTCTCGTGCTGAGCCTGGAAGAGCTGAGGGGAAAACACGTGGACTTATTCCAGCATCTGTGTGTTACCAGGAAAGAAAATACATGACAGCCTGATACAGTTCCCACTTACAAAGATAAGAGAGACTTACCTGCTACACCTCAAATTTTCTGGCTCAACCACCAAGAAACTATCACTCATAACACTCTGAGGTGGCAAATTTTTGAGTAGAATTCGTAGCAAGATTTAAAAATATGAATGACATCTACAACTGTAGGACTGAAGACTGGACTAAAGAACATTGAAGAGATGAATTATCCAGGCTCAGTGCCTTCAGTTGTGGCATTTCCAGTAGCCTGGGATTTCCAGCTCGGTGAAACATGCCATTCCCACCTGAGGCAACAAGATGAGAGAGACAAGAAACCCTGCCCTTAATTCAGAAAACAAAGGCTTGAGCTACAGAAACCTTTTCTCCATCAGGCACATGAGCCACTGGCTGTGCTGAGAAATGGCACTCTGCCTTTCAATCTCTATTTGTGACCAGAAGAATCATTTCACCTTTCTTTCCCCATTCCAACATTTTGTCTCTCTCCCTACATATCACTCGACAAGCTACAGCAACTAATTTTTCTTGGCAATTAACACCACTTCTTTTCAAATGGCAGAAAAAAATTGAAAAGGCACATCTTCAACTATTCTCCATCTACCACTAGCTTCCATTTCTCTTGGTGGACACTGCTTTCCAAAAAGCTCTGCCCCACCAAATGAGATCTTACACCTCAGGTCATATCCTCTCCAAGGTCAAAAACTAAACAAGTCCAAGCCCCTCAGCTCTTCCTTTCTCCTTAGTGACTTTTACACAGCCACAGAAAAAAACCCCTGGAGATTCAGAGTGGCTCCCAAGTTGTTCCACCCTACGTCCCTCAAGGACTTTGCAGGCAGGCAGAAAGCAATGAAGTGGCTGCTCAGTGACAGAGATGATAAGAATGAGGAAATACATAAGGAAGCCAATAAAACCCAGCAAGGAACTAGAGCTCTGTGCAAAAGGAAGCATTTGAGAACTGAAGTACTGCAAAACAGAATGAAAACTGAACAGGTCGAGTGATGGCTCAATTAGAAGGGAATCTGAAATCTCACAGATCAAGAAAGCACTTTTCTATATTCAACTGGTGGACACTAAAAAAAGGACCAAATGTGAAAACGGGAGAGAAACAGAGCTGAGGAGCTGTCAGAGCAGGAAAAAATGAAGGCAATATGAGATCTATAAATTTTTGTTTATTTTGAGAAAAGCAGACTTGTTATATCTGGAAGGTGAAGACTTCTATGAAGCTATACAGAATAAATCAGAATTTAAAACTGGTACCACACTAGGGAGAGAGAAGGTAAACTGAACTGAAAAAGGGTAATGATATTTGTATAGAAAAGAATGAGGAAAGGGGAAAAAAAAAAAAAATCTGTTCAACTGCTAAGAATACACAGACAGGCTGCACAAAATTGCTAGAACTGGAGTGCTACAGAGGAAATCAAGTGTAAGATACATACTGGGGGCAGGTGACAAAAGAAATAAATTGCAAAATGTGTTATGTGAGGGTAAAAGAAACAAAGAAAGAAAGGTTCAGACAGGAAAAATAGGAGTCAGGTAAAGTGTAACAATATATGCGTCTCTGGTTACTGTCCGAATGTTCAAAACCAGTATATTTTAGAAAGACAAATGATACTGAACAGGCATCTGAAGAATAGAAGTATTTTGTCAAGAAGAGACAACAAAAAAATATGGTGAAAGACCAACAGAGATGTACTTACAACAGGAAAATGTTCTGGTTTAGAGTAAAATATGCACCGCACCTTCGTCTAATAAACAGTTGTAAGTCACTCTCAGGACTGCCTTCAGCATCTAGTGAGGAGTGAAAGTCTGTAGGTATTTTAGTATTAAACAAACCTGAGGTGAAATAGCGAGTCCTCCCAATGGATCGCCATCCAGAATATCAGTCCCAGCATTATAAACAATGATGTCAGGTTTTAATTCATTTAATGCTCCTTCCACGTGAGTATGTACCTTCTGCAGATATTCTGTGTCCTCTGTACCCCACTCTAATTCCACCTTGCGTTTTATGGCACCTAACAAACAGAAATGTTTCAGTGGTACTCGATAAACAAAGCATCGCTTTGGAAGAAAACGCAAGATTTAGGTAAGCAAGAGAGAAAGAGGACATTTCTGAAAACTTTGTAGATACATTGCATTGTCACAGAACCTTGAATTAAAGAAAATTATTCAACTACTTGTTTCCCCGGCAAATGTATGCACAATGACCTTGAAAAAATTCAATTGAAGAGAGAAAATTAGATGCAGGGAAAAAACCCAACGTATCTCTGAGACAAATGGAAAATGTTATTGAAAAGCAGCTGATCTACATGTTCATTTACCAATCAGCAAAGAAATAATAAAGGAAATTATATCATTTAAAAGTAACCTAAATAAATTATAAGGGAAGGAAAACACTGAATTGCTATTTGCAGAGGAAACAGTTGGGGGAAAACACAAGATAAATATCACTGAGAAATTATTAAGATGTTTTATTTTTATCACAACACTCAAAACTTAACAGCAAGGGATCATGAATTTATGTGAACTGCTTTATGAATGTGTAACAAGATTCAACTTTGCCCCAAGCACTTTCAATTTTATGTTCTTACCCTGTAATCCTACCAGAAGAGCAAATATCTATTCTTAATTTAAATCAAATTATTCCTAATACTTCCAATAAAGCCATAAAAGAGGAGGGTTAAGAATGTAGAGGAAGGAAACCCACTGTTACACAGCCTAGCTTTGGGTGCTTTTATGGAGTTGTGTGTAATGCTAAAGTCAAATTAATCAAATTGATGTCAGAGGTGTTTCCAGGCATGACTTCCACCTCACCACACCCCACACCTTCAATTAAATGACTTGGAGTCGTAAATCTTAAGTGTGGATTCAGCACCCACCAAATGTGCATGAATGCGTTCAACACAGAATGATGCTTATTTATTCTTGTGATTGCTGGGTAGGGTTTTTTTTTCTACTTTCCATCCTTGTTCAACATTAGCGAGGCATTCTTCTTTTTTCCTTTATTTTATTGCATCAACATTAGTTTAAAAGATTTTCTTTCTTTATGATATTTTTCCTGAATTCTTATTGTTATATAAATTTTCATACAAGTCCGCACAGCTGTGCTCTTCTGAGCAGCACTCAGAGCCTCTTCAGGGTAAAGAATCTGCTAACTTAAGCTTTAGAGGAGGAGGTAAACACATTAGCATGGAGAACAAATAAGCGTTGTTCTGATGAAACCGTTAAGAAGTTGAGACAATTGTGAATAAGATTCAATGCCTCTACAGGTCTCTTGTCTTCATCTTCACCACAAAACACAGAATTACAGTGATTAGTTATTACCCAGATCAGGGAGGACCGATGGACACAGTGATGGATCTGTAGGTTAGAATAAACACAGCTTTTGCATTTGATAGCCTTTTGTCCATCTCTTGCTAATTAGCACATGTGCTCCTACAGCTTTGAAAACTGTAAAAAGACCAACAGCAAGACTTTTTTAGGGCCTGAACTTTGAGTTTCAGTTGTCAACTTTCTGTGCTCCCCCTTCAGCAAACCAGTCCTTTTCCCCATCCACCTCCTTTCTCTTCCTAAACTTCTGTGTGATTCCACAGTATTTCCCCTTGGGGACTCAATATGCTTATGGCAAAGTATTTAGACAAATGTTAGCTAGTCCTTTTTTTTTTTTCTTTTTTTTTTTTTTTTTTTTCCTTCCCCTAATGAAGTGCATGGGGCAGAAAAATGTACAGGAGAGAATCCTGTAATAAAACACGTAGAAGATGAGTGGGAAGTCCAGGGAGACAGTGATCAAATTAGAGTTCACCCTAATGATTCAAACTCTCAGGTTCAAGCCTCCACCTCCCTTCAAGAAGATGCCCTCTCTGATCTAATCTTTGTCTGGTCACTTAGGAAAGCATTTAAAGGATTTAGCCACTGAACTCCTATTCTGACACCCTCATGCAAACTGCAAGGAACTATATATTCACATGTCTTCAGCCACAGCCTCCTGCACCTCCTGCTTCAGCTGCAGAAAGGGAAAGCTAGTACTCCCAGTTTCACAGGAGAGGGGCAAGTTCAGTATTTCAGATTTGCTAACAAGGGCTTACTCTGTTTTGGTCTTAATCCACCTGTTTAAAATGTTGCCATTTGATATATGAATAAAGCAATGCTTTCCTTAGGAAACGATTTTCATTTGCTTGCCATTTGTCTGCTTACAGACATGACGTGCTTTAAATGGTCATTTTTTAGTTTAATACTTTGAAATTCATATACTACAGTTTTCAAAATCTTTACTAGTTAAAAACCAGAAGTACTATGCATTGCACCTAATTCTTGCCAAGAATCCAAATTAAGTAGGCTTTTCAGAATGACAGTGTCATTGAAGAAATTCAACAGCAGAACATCTCCCCCCAGTAAATCATGATTCAGTTAACAAATTAAGCCTGTAATAAATTACAGTGTAACAGAATCAAAGATCAAATAAACTTGGGGCTTTTGCATTCTAATTTAACCGTTATCAACTCCCCACTAATTAAGTGTGACAGGTCACCAGACACAACAGGCACATCACAGTAAGGATAAACAAACAACAACAACAACAAAAATTAAGCACCAACTCTTAACATCTATATGACATCCTTTTGCTTCCCAACTTGTTTCACATTCAGATGCACCTTGTTTTCTAGATGCTTACAAAATTAGTTCCACTGGAAAGACAACACCTAAATATGTTATAACTTTCAAAAGAGCATGAAACATTTTTTACACAATATTAGCTAATCCTTACTGAATTCTTTTATAAATTTAGTGTAAGGGAAATATTAAGTTCTAACGGTTATCTTCAAATCAAAAGAATTACTTAACTCACTGTTCTAAGCGTGGCATGAGCTTTTGACTGGATTGCTAACAAAGTCCACATAACACCCACACCTTGCATTCCAGAAATTCATTCCAGAAGTGAGGGAAAAAACTACAGCTTTAACACTATTGTGACATATCACAGTGATCATTGAAAACTGTATGTTCAATGTGAAATTAAAAAAAAAAAAGTTTAAAAATCTAGTTAACATTGTTGCAAGGAAGCTTATTAGTAATGAAGATGACATTTAACACCACAGTAGGTCTTGTACATTTTGGAATATGAATTTCAATTATACTTACGTTTAGCAAATCCATCCCCTGGATAAATATATCTATTGTATGCATCCATAATATATACCCGATGATCATCCATAAAGTCCCTCTCATGGCCATTTCCCTAAAGGAAACTTACAGTTAGCTATTCCTAGCATACTAACACAGAATAAAATAAACTGCAAATTCTAGAGTAATTAAGACTATAAAGATGTAGGATTTAAAACTCCTGTGTTATTCTCTTACTTATAATCTTAAAGGTTATTTTGAGGTGTAGAGTGTTGGGGGCTTTGATATCATCAGTCTGAAGACTGCAGGTATTACAAAAAGCAACATCTCTGTATCTCTGTGAGGGTAATTATCATAGATCTTATTGCACATAAAAGAAAAATAAATGAAAATTAGAAGCTAATTGTCTTCAGCAGCATCACAAAAGCAATTGGGACTACCAAATAGATCTCTATTCTTCCAATTGTTCAAAAAAAAAAAAAAAAAGTAACTTTCAACTGCTGCAGGGATACTTATAATCTTATACAGGGATTAATAAAGAAATAAAGCAGACTGCAGCTCTTCTGATAATTCAAGCCTTTGTAAGGTAAGTAATCCCTAGAAAAATTACAAATACTACAGACCAAACAGTTTAACATGCTGTTTAACACCAGGAATTCCCTACAAAAATACTATATTGGGTGTAAAAATGGATGCTCAAGAGAAAACTCAGCTTCTGATTATTCCTCCTCCCCTATTTCTGAACAGTATTATTCTGGCTCTCATTTAAACTTTTTTCCAATAGCATAAACATAATCTTTTCACAGCAATCACTTAGGTGATTTTGGTGAAATCAGTGTATCCTACAGGACCACAGTCCCTGCGCCCATTAGAATTTCACTTAAACTATAGAAACAGATATTTCTACAGATATATCTTCTGTAATTCAGCTACAGAATTTTAGGTCCCCGGACAGTTAAGCTCTATTTCTGACACAACTTCCCCTCCTGGAAACAAACAAGCAAACCAAACCAAAACAAAAGAAATAAAGAATCACTGGACTAAAACTAGTCACTGTGTGTGAAAAAGGGAATGGGAAGCACCAGAACTGCATTTCTTTATGCCAAAAAATGGTAACTCCTACTTATTTTTTCAGAACCTTTGGTCTACAAATAAACAGATCATTCAAACAGAAATCTAGGAATATGAGAACCTCTGGGTGAACCATTTGCTTATTAAAGGTAAAACCTGCCAATGCACCAAGAATTGGAACACTTACAAGACGCACAGTTAAAAAGGATCTGCTGAGCTACTATTTCACACATCTCTGATTCCCCAAATAAAGGAAACAAAGGGAGTGATTCAGTGTGCAGATTGAGATTACCAGCATGATACTTGAAAATCAAAATACATTCCAAGGAGTTTTTAAGAAACAAAACACTCCAAAAAAGTGCAAAAAAAAATCCATAGCCTGATAGAGACGGCTGAAGAGAATCATGAGCACAAAATACCTTTCTATTGTATAATCTATGCCCTTATATTTCAAGGTACATTTAGGATACCTGAATTTGCAGATAAGAGAAATGACAGAAAATAAAAAACCTGCATCCTCACTGTCACGTTACTACTTAAAAATGGTTTATTTACACATAATAAATTATGTTCAATGCTTCAGATTAGATATAATTTGGGGGCATTAGCTGCTTTTCTAAAAATACTATTTCCCTTCTTTCAGGATTTATTTTGGAAATCCTAGCAAAGATGAGATTTGTTCTCAGTACCCACAGTAAATCACTACCAGGTGAAGGGTAATGTATTCTTTACTTCATTACCTAAAGCCAGGCTTTCCATTAAAACACTGAAGGTCAGATTCATCCCCTGCAAAGGTTGGTGCAATGATCACGTGTGCTGAACTAACTGTACTTCTGCCTTAAGAGACTCTTGTTTCTTCTGGGATACTGACCTACTCTGGAGATTGTTGTGCCTCAGATCAAAAATATTTTTACATCTAGCCACATGATGGAGCTACAACTCAGTTTAATTTTATTAAAATGGCTTAATGGTCTTTTGGACCATAAAAGAATTAAACAACTAAACTGTTCACAATTTTCATCATCTGTGATTAACTCTGTATTCTGTGAGTTGACAGTTTATACTGCTATTAGGAAAAAAATGGTATTTATTACACAGTTGTATTTTGAGCAAAACATCTGCAGCACTGAATACAGCTAAGCTACTCACCTGATGAGCATCCAGATCAATAATTGTGGCTTTAGACACCCCTTGCACTCTTTCAAATAAGAACTGTATATATAAGCAAAGAAAGAGATGGAGAAAGTTATGAAGTTAGGTGACAGATTAAACTGGAGGCTTGAAGCTTGCACAGTATATTACTGTTCCAATTTGAATGTAGTGTAATTCACCAAATAAACGGCTAAATGATTCCAATATATTTAATTGCAAAAGCTTTAGTTATTTCACATAAAAATTGTTGTGGTTATACAATAAAAAACTCTATACATTTCCACATCCTCCATCTGTGCAGGTATCTGCCTACCTATAGGGAAAGTTGGTGGACTGAGGAAAGAAAGAGATTTCTACTCATTTCCTCTTTCTCCCACAAAGTACCGGACACAACATAGGGTCAAGGACATGTCTGTCTACAGCTTCCCACACTAACTTGTAAAGTGGAGTCCACAAATGAGGCATGAGCCCAATGACACTGAATAACACAAAGGAGCCCAAGGTAATAAACCCTGTTGTGGTACTAGTGGCTCTACAGAGGTGTAGCTGGTACAGCTCTGCACCCTGCAGCAGCCAGGCAGGAAAGGACAGGTCCAACTAGGGATTATGAAGCTGATTGCGGCATTGGGGCTGCCAGAGGCTGGAGTGGAACCAGTGACAGCATGGAGAAAGCAACAGCAACAACTGTGGGTTGGCACAGGGTGAAGCAAGAGCTGCACAGGCCCCAAAACATGGAGGAGCTAATATCAAAAGACACAAATGATAGCATGAGTGAGCTTATCAGCAGGAAGGGAGAAACAGTCCACTGTGACGGCATCCAACTGTGTAAGCATAAAATCTACCATTTAGCAAATGCTGCTGTAGGGACTGTATGCATTAAAGCCACTTTTACTAACAGAATTCGTTTCTTATTCTACATCTGTGAAGAAAAAAAAAATTCTTTGGGTCTTAACTTTGACAAGTTACCATCTTTCATATAGACATGGAAAAACCCAAAGATTTTGTACAAGCTGTCACCCGCTATAATTTCACAATCTGTATTACAATGTTAGGGAAAATAGAACACTGCAGATTACTTGTCTGAAAATTACCATTTACAGAAATTAGGATGTTCTGTCATATAGTGTGTTGCAATCATTAGAGCTTTTTTGTATTTTATTATTATTGATACTTTATAAATATTCTTGTATACAAATATATCATAGTACATTTGGTAAAAATAAATCTTAATTGCAGAAGACTCTTGCTTGAGCTTTTCAACATCTCAATACCAAGTGTATTCATTCACATTCAGTGATTATTTTGGATACATTCACATTTTTATTCATGAATTTGAACCACTCTGAGCACTGTATAGTGCAGCTTGATTTGGAGAGAGGATTTCTGTCTCTGCATTCGTCTGGATTGTAAACATTGAAACTCATTTGGAATTTCCAGGTTCAACTGCAAGGCTAGGATAATTATCACTGAGGACAATAAAAGTCAATGTGGTTTGATTTTGAGTGTTTTTTTGCAAGAAGATATTATTAATACAATTGTAGTGGTTCATATTTACATTCATAATTCTGATTCCTGCAACTCTTCCACTTGATAATAGTGCATATGCATTATGTTCTGCAGCACCAAGTACCACACCATTTTCCTATTCCTACCCATCTATAGACAGCTTTATTTTCTTCTATTAAGATGTAAATTAGTTCTTACAAATTTATGTGGATTTTTTTTTCCATTTGCACAAACAAAAGAATATACTGGATTAAGAGTACTTCTTACCTTTATAGCCAGTGTGATATCAGCATATGCACAAAATCCTCCACCTTTGTCACTTGAGCAGTGATGAAAACCACCCCCTAAACATAAAAATGTTGAAAAGGTGAAAAGCTAGATACTAAGGAACATTGATGGCTTGCAAAGAGACAGAGATTACTTACACATCAGGCCAGACACGGCACCTAGAGCTTTTAAATGCTTGCCTAGCAACAGTTTCTGTACATAGAACCACGGAATGGTTTGGGCTGGAAGGAACCTTAAAGATCATCCAGTTCCACCCCGCCCTGCCCCAGGCAGGGCCCCCTTCCCCCAGCCCAGGGGGCTCCCAGCCCCGTCCAACCTGGCCTTGAACCCTTCCAGGGAGGGGGCACCCACAGCTGCTCTGGGCACCCTGGGCCAGCGCCTCACCCCCCGCACAGAGAACAATTTCTGCCTTAGAGCTCACCTAAATCTCCCCTCGGTCAGTTTAAAACCATTACCCCTCATCCTACCCCCACCCCCTGATCCAGAGTCCCTCCCCACCTCTCCTGCCCCCCCTTTAAGCCCTGGGAGGCCGCTCGAAGGGCTCCCCGGAGCCTTCTCTTCTCCAGGCTGAACCCCCCCAACTCTCTCAGCCCGGCCCCCCAGGGGAGCTGCTCCAGCCCCCCCAGCATCTCCGTGGCCTCCTCTGGCCCCGCTCGAGCAGCTCCGGGTCCTTCTGCTGTTGGGGGCCCCCGAGCTGGCCCCAGCACTGCAGGGGGGTCTCCCCAGAGCGGAGCAGAGGGGGAGAATCCCCCCCCTGGCCCTGCTGCCCCCCCTGCTCTGGCTGCAGCCCAGGGCACGGGTGGGTTCTGGGCTGCCAGCGCACATTGTCAGGTCATGTTGAGCTTCTTGTCAACCAGCACCCCCAGTCCCTCTCCTTGGGGCTGCTCTCCAGCCACCCCTCACCCAGCCTGAATCTGTGCTGGGGATTGCCCCGACCCACGGGCAGGACCTTACACTTGGCCTTCTTGAACTCCAGGAGGTTTGCCCAGGCCCCCCTCTCCAGCCTGCCCAGGTCCCTCAGGATGCCACCCCTGCCCTCAGCGTGTCCCCCACCACCCAGCTCGGTGGCACCCTCAGCCAATGCCACTGTCCACTTGCTAACAAAGACATTAAACAGCCACTCATCACATATCTTGTGTGGCCTACCAGACCACAGGCCTATCAGACTGTCAGACAAAGGAACTGCAGATGTCCAGATTAAAGGGAATTGTCTCTTTCATCTAGCAGCCACCCTAAGAACGGAGAAATGTACTATGTGTAACACATGGTGCCTCCATGACAAAGCATACTGCTTTAAAAGTTCAGCTCCCCCAGGCATGTTGGAGTTGTATAATTAACATTATGAGGCCAGTGGAAAAGACATGTGGAAAGTTCTTTTCTATGCTGAACACCAGGTCAAAAAAAATACCAAACCAAGAACTATAGGGATGTCATTATTTGCACAGGCCATTGTCTTTTGCAAACACTCAGACCAGAAGAAACTTTAAGAACTCCTCTTTAAAACACAAACACAATCTTCACATGAAAAAAGCACTTAGACCTCCCCCTCTCAAAACATGTTTTTTGTATATTAAACCAGTACTTTTTACTGAGAAAGCCACTACAGATATCCAGGCAAGAAACTTAACAAGCTCAATTTATACACTGGTAAATATGACATGCTTTTGGGTTTGCTTTTAATGTCTATTTAATTTTCAATATTGGATATTTACATTGTAGATGTGTGCAAGGAATAATGGAAAAATCTCAGAACTGATGAGCTCTATGAAAATGACAAGCCAAGTCTTACCTGACAAAATATTGCTTCAATAGTTTACTGGTTTTGCACTGCTATTTGCTATGAGCAGGAGAATAGATTTGTATCTATTATATTCTTCATAATTCGTTCAATCAAGTCTTTTTCAGGAAAAAGTGCACAGCCAAAAATAGACACTAACTGGTACAGTCCTGCTCTCCTGCATATCAACCAATCCCTTGATCTGGTATAAATATATAAATTAGCTGATAAGATCTATGAAAAATATTTTATGATTTAATAAAAACAAAGATTTTGTTGAAATATTTACATTTACTCCAAACATTTTTTCTTAATTTTTTTTTTACACTACTTCAATCCAAACACTTTTCCTTACATATATCATATCTTTATCAAGTTATCTTTTTTTTCCCTTTCCAAAACGTATTTTTTTAATTATAAAACTGCAATGAGTGATAGTGGATGAGTGAACAAATCCAGTACTTTTTTCATATTTTTTTTAGAGTTGATTTTAGTTAAACACAATCCAGTCATATTCTGTTATTATAAACAGAACACACATCATGCTAAATTAAAATAATATGATTTTAAACACACTATTTCAAGTATCATTTAATGCACTACTTTTGTACTTACCCACATTGATCGCCCAGCCTCTATCAACAGCAAGTTTTCCTGCCTTAAGAAAATTACGGTGAGAACTTAATGAATGAACAAGGCAACCATTCAACACCGTCTGCTTCCACCCCAAAGGCAACGCTTGGCATTCAGACATGCCCACTGAATTTTTGGATGTTTTACCACTGCAGGTCATTCTGAATCAGATCCCTGAATACAAGCCATACAAAACTACCCTCAGCATAATTAACTGAAAAATTGTTTGATATCTCATCTGTATTTCATTCTTTGGCAGCTAAGCAGGTCTAAAACAAACTGCACTTTGCAGAGATGAACACCAACCCCTAGCAGACAAATGAAAAAAGGAAATTACAGGTGTCAATAAGAGTAAAAAAAGAACAAGAATCTCCTAATATCCTTCCTGCTCATGTAAAAATAGGAGGAACGCATGATCAAAACCCTGAAAATACAGATTAACAGTTTCAGCTGGGGGTGGGGACAGAAAAATACTACAGTATGAAGTGTCCTGTGACTTCTTGGATTTTTAGAATGATATAACATGCATTAGAATATTACCAACCTTTTTCCCTCCAATACAGAAAAACTGTACCTGTATCTCTTCTTTGAATTCAAATGACATTCAGGGAAGGGAAAGTATTGACAGAGAAGAGATACACAAAGCTTAAATGATGAAATTTTAATTAAGAAACTTGACTTATTTTGACTAGGAAGAGTCAAGTGAGTGTTTAACAGCAGCATTCCTTAAGTGTCATGTCAAAAAACGAAGATACTACTAGCTGTATTTTTTTAAAAAAAATGAGAAAAGAAAAATAAAGGTAAACCCAAGATTATTCTTTTCCATAATCATGTAAAGAACACATCATACATGAAAAGAAGTTTGGACAGTTGAGAATTCTTCACTAGTATTTATATCCGAACACTTCTAATTGAGTATAAAGAAAACTACTGGGAAAGTAAAGATCATCTTGTTATGAACAAGCTAACTTACACAAATTAGATCTTGAGAAAAGACTGTAGTTTCTGAGCTATAAAACCCATTAAGTCACAGGGAAAACACATTATCTGTGATTTAACATACTTCCTAGGGATTCCTTACCAAAATACAGTCTTCCCAAATTGCTAAAAAATCATTAAGAAGTACAGAAACTCAACAGGAATTTTCATGATAAACAGGACCATCAAGAATAGCAGAAAATTTTACTTCTACCTTGTATTGTACACATTTTATTGTCTGATGAATCAAACCCACTTTTAAAGTACATACCTATTTCCATATAATGAAAAATAAAAAAGGTTCAAATAACAGCATATGGCATCAAGATCAATCCAAAAGTGACCAGTGATGTCATCCGTATTTCAGAAGGGATGACAAAAACATGAGACAACCAGGGGCTCTCTCTTCTACATGTCTACATTTATAACTAGTGAACATGCATTTATGAATTAAACATAACACAAGCACAATGAAAAACATCACAAAACTATACAGAAGTACTGACTAGTTAGAACCAAGTTGCAATAGATTTCACACACACACACTGTCAAGGCCCTCAAGAAATATCAAAGGTAGAGTATTAGGAAAAATCTAGATTCTTCCCAATCATTTTTCTCTTCTACCATTTCCTTCGTTCCTCATAACTATTGCACAGAAAGAACGCATCGCTCTACTAAGAGAAAGCTCTGCATGTTCCTATTCAGACAGGCCTTGGCAGACCAAAACCCCTCATTTCAACAACCACTGCTGTCTGCAGTCAGAAATAGGGCACAGAGGAGAGAACCCACCAGGAGTCTGAAGGACTAAATGGAGCTATTTCTTTGGCTGTGAGTGACAACTAAAAATTTTTAAATACCTTGAACTACATGAAACACGTAAAACCAGAATTCTTTCTCTCTATAACTACCCAGTCTATAACATTGGTTTTTTGTTCTGTTTTTGTTTTGTTTTTTAAAAAAAGGGTCAAACTATCCCCAAACTAGCAGTCCATGGAAAACAAGATGACTACACAGATACCAGCAAAACCAGTTTGGTGTCAGCTCTTGCTGGTAAATTGCCAGGAAAAAGTGCTCCCGCTGATTCCTACATGTTTGCATCAGGCAGATGCACTGGGTTCCACTTCCAATTGTCTCTGCTTTCACCAGTTAACACCCACCAAAGGAGGTAGCACTTTTTGTTACCTAGCCTATTTCCATAATCCATCAAATCTAAAGATTTATCCAGAACATAACATGTTCTATCCACACTCAAATGTTTAAATTGTCCTTAAAGCTTAGCTTAACATCTTCAGTAGTTCATCTGGTTTTATCTGGTTTTCTCATGCTTATGCAGACTTTTAGGCTTCAACAAAAGCATCAGACATTGCTACGCTGTACAAACACTTTCACATAATTCCTTACCTCACTATTCTTTGACTTTAAACAACATGTACATCCAAGAAAACAGAGCAACACAAGAGAATTAAAGTAGAATTAGGAAATGGGATTTAAGAAGTGAGAACTATAGTTGGAGAAACTGAGTCCAAGGTGGGGAGGATACATACAACTTTTATTTTAGAAAAGAAAGCCATCTCCCACTCAAAAGCCTGAATAAAAACCAGACTCAGCAACCTGCAATGATACTTAAACATTGTAAATGCCACAAGACTCACTGTTGTACCAATGATTTAGTAAGAAACCACTGGCCGTGTTGTTTATTTAACGCCTCAGAGCAGTTAACCACACAATTTCAGCATCAAGGACGTGACCTTTTGATCTTTCCCTCTACTATCCACATGTGCAAAAACTTACTGGAAGTTTTCCTTTGCTACTTCTCTGCTATGATTACAACTCTCACCTTCTCCTCCAACTATAAGCAAGAATTTTCTGAACACATGCATATGTATGCTGATACATTTTTCAATCACTCCAAGTAGTTCACAGTATCATGAAGAGCTACATTACATAAGTACTACATTCCCCATTATAAATAAAATGTACCAGTTTGCAACACAGCTCAAACATGAAAACTCTTTGAAGAGCTCCATATTTTTAAATATCTATGTCCAGTGTTTGGATAGCACAAAGGGAGTTAAGATGACATGCTTAAAACAATTAAAATGCACTGTTAGAGGATGTTTCTGAATCTTGGCAGCATGTATTTAAGCCCGCTCACAAGCTGTCCAGTCCATTCTTTCTCTATTACCTTTTGGTAACAAAAAACAGCTAGCAGAGAGTTACTTTTACATACACACAAATCCAGCAGGAGATGAGACACAGATTTAATAACACAGTACTAAAATACTGAAAGAAATGGACATTTTTCTCCAATAATCAGGTATTGAGTAGTTCCATTGTTAAACTACAACAGAGAACCAGGATACTTCATCTTGCCTTAAAAATCTGATAACTGACACTCTTCCTTCACATAGTAAAACCCAAGAGGGCTGAAACTTAACAGAGCCTAGATCCACTTATACACACAAATGATAGTAACAATAGTTAATCTCACGTCAGCTCCACAAATTTAAAGAAAACTTGCAGAACTGCCTCACCAAACTTTTGGGCTCACTCGCATCATTCTCATCGGTCAGACTCACAAATGGATTCAACCTCTTTCATTGTTCCTGAAAACCGTACTGCCCCGCCTTTAATGCACTAGTCATAGAAGAGCTCTTTATATTATTTATGTCTTTAATGAATTCTTGATGCATTCACAAAGGTAAGCATTTAAAAATAAGAAGTCTTCATTCCAGTGCAGATTACTAAGAACTTACATTTCCATTGACAGAAATGGGAAGATATGTATTAGCCTATTTCTGAAAATAATGCCATTATTTTAACATTCACTTATGGCTTTTCAGTCTCATTCACCTTTAATATCTAGTAGTTGCAATAAATAGAATTCTCATATCTGGCACAAACGTACTCTGAAAGCTTTGCCAACCCACAGAATAGTGTTCTATAACTGGCACACAACAGATATAGAAAAAGCACTATGAGCTTCTATCCTTTTCACACGCATCCACTGTAACAGCTAACTTCGGGAAAAGTAGCTAAAATGCAGCAAAGTTCTATTTGTACCATAACAGTAATGATTTCAGGTAGGATTATTTGTCTTCCATTCATGTAACTGTTACAGCTCAGTGCCTGCAAAGAGAGATTGGGACTGTCACCATCTCCTCCCAGCACCATGCTGTATAGTTTCTGAACTCTAGCCCCAATATGACAAGGAATGATAAAAAGAGCAGAAACAGTTCCATTAGTTATCAGTTTACAATTATGAAGGAGCTTTTCCCCAATACATGGTTTAAATAACTCATTCTCGGTTCCAGCTATTAACTGCTTTCTTTCCTCCTACTTCCTCAACATGTCTAATGGCAATTCTCAGGCAAAATTAAATGTCTGGCAACACACGGCTCTTCTAACCAGAGCATTCATTTAATTAATCAGAAAACAATTCTGTTAAAGTGAAACAGGCTATATCTCACTAGAGTTCAGCTGAGCTGCTTATGTAGTATTTACAATAGAGAAAGTAGTTAAACTAACTTTAAAATGAGCAAGGTGATATGATTTTTAAGCTTAAACACCAAGAACCACCACACCATGCGTTTCATCCCATACAGTACCAAGGCCATTTGGTAAATATGTGCTTTAAAAATAGCTTCTATATTATCAATTTTGAAACCTCCTGTTGCTAGAATTTGCCTGTATTTGAACACTGTTTAAAACTAATTTCGTTTCTGTATTTTCCATAAGTCCTGCCATGTCTATCATTACTTGCCGCTGACCCTTTCTGTGTCTTGTGCTTCTGCAAATTATGGACCATAAAAGCAGGTACATCCTTCACCTTGGTAGTCGGTAACAAGTGGCAAACTTTGCTCACATTTAGGACTCTGCACTAACTCACTTCCCTCTACAGGCCTCCAGGGCTCAACCCTCTGAGTTATACAAAATATTACAACTCACAGCTTTATAGTGCTTTGACTAACAAGTTTAAATACAAGTGAATGAAGAGCATCTTACCATTATTGTTCCTCCTGTCTGGGTTCGTAGAGGTTTCAAAACTTTTCTCTGAACTACGAAATTGGGAAGAAAGGCAACTGGTGGAATTTCTGTGATTGTAGCCACAACAAATGACCACTACAAGAAGGAAGAAAAAAAGTTTCAATTAACATAGCCTGTCTTAATGATGACATTTAGACTTCTCATCAGTCGTTATTTACTGAAAGGGAGCTCACAGGTCCTTAGCAAGATCTTTATTTTTAGATGGAGGTGACCACACGTGTCCTTATTAGTAAGGACAAATTTGGAGGTGAAGTTGTTAATTACAAGAACCATCACTTTCAATCACTATCACTAGGTTTTTCAGATTTTAATATCAAATAGTAATAAATCAGCACTTTTTCAGCAAGCTAATATTTCAGAAAATATAATAATATCCCTGGGATTGGGAGGAAGAATTGTAAAATGTCCTTCAGCAGCATTAACAGCAAGCTACGCTTGATATATTGTTCAAACCTAAAATATCTTTTCCTGTGTCAAGTCAAAAGGATATATCAAGGAGAAAGGGAAAAACAAACAGGCAACTCAACTGCAAAGTGAACACACAGTGCAAATTTTAGCATGGAGAACTGATTAAACTTATTTATCATATTAAACACTTCTGGAAAATGTTTCAAGGAAACATTTTGTTAAAAAGTCACATCATCAAGAACATGATTTGAAGGTTAGAACACAAAATATTTGCAATATGTAAATGCTTTTTTTGCAAACACATAAAGATCACTTCAAAGAACTTCTATTAACATTGCTACAAGCAATAACACTTCTAAATATATTTCAAAGCACAAGTTACAAGCAAGTATACACCTCTTCATCCAATGCTGAAACATTCAGGTACCAAGAGTTACGCATTTGACACCCTGTGCAAAGATTCTGCACAGATCCTATCTTCTTCAACACTAGGAAATTCAACTAGATTGAGTACATTCATTGCCCAATTACCATTAGCTGCCTGTTTACAAATGATAGGATGTACAGCTGGTCAAATTTTAACCAAAGACAATCACATGCCAATTTCAGGGTCCTCTGATACTCAGAAAAACTTAAACTACTTTAGCTCGCCAGTTTTCAGTGTTTCAACTACAAAGTACTATTGGGTGGGGTGGAGGGGTGCCATTATTTATGAAGTTCTCTAAGTACTAACTAGATTTTGTCAACAGTTCATTTAAGCTCTTACTGCTTTTCTATTTTTGAGACATTATTCTGTCACCATATTATCAGCTCTCCATCATTAACAAAGCACTTCCATTATTTTGTAATATAGTCCATCTTGATAAAGTCCTTTTGCAAGATATTTTAAATTTTAAACAAGCATAATGTAAAAAACTAGATTAAATCCTGTTGTTCTAAAACGGAATTGAAAAGGCCACATTTGGATAAAATAAATTTTAATCCCAAATGCAAATGATGATCATAAAAATTCAGAAGGTTTTAACACAGTTTAAAAAAATTTTAATCGCAACGGGAAGAAGTGAGAGCAATGAAGACTTAAACCAACACGTATGGTGCTGCAGGTTTTTAAGTGAATCCACACATGGTAGGAGTAAAGAGTAAGCAAAGCGTTCTATTCACAGCTGAGGACCTTTACAGAACAGCACCAAGCCCGATGACATTCACTGCTTCATTACTGTATTTATGTAATTCCTAACATATGGGGGAAAAGTCATTTGACTGTGAGGAAAGTCTTGGGGTTCAAGAATGCAGCTATAGACTAATGAAAATGCTTCTCAGAAAACACCACTATAATAATTGAGAAAATATATTGCCTCAAACTGTGGATAGTTTTGCGCTCTTTACTTCAACATGCTAATTTTGTTTTCCAACATTTCCTGCAATAAATTCTCACAACAGCTATGTATATACTTAAAAAGAAATCGAAAGGAATTAGGTTTAAATAAGAATATAATTTTTCATGTTGCAAAAATAAAAAATTATTTTGAATAGATGAGGACTACATTAATTACATTTCCCAGGCTGCCAGTTGGCTTCCACGACACGTCTTCACACACATTAGTTTCCTCTGATAGAGAACAAACCCTTCAAATTTTTGGTTGGTGTTTTTTTTTTTTTTAAAAAAAAACAAACTATTTTTTACATTCAAATTGTGCATATCAGAGTAATATCAGTTACTGTTTCTTTTGGTAGATACTTGTTCTTACTCAGTAATCAAATTACTGATTCTCTAGTAGTTTTGTAGACTAGTAATCATGTAACTTAACAGAAATGAACACTTGATCTGGATTCAGGGAAGATTAATAATCACATATAAACACTATTCAACAACATGCCTTCACTTATTCTTTTTAGTTATCAAGTCCATTTAACTCTTTCTTTATTTCTATTGCTAATATCATAAGATTTTAAAATTACTTAGCTTCCTGTGTTTTGGATAAATAATTCAATGTATGAATTTAAGTTTCAATTTTTAAAAAATTTCACTCCCTGTTTTCTTAAGAGAAGTAAAGAAGTCAGGCTAACCCTTAGCCAGGTATATTTTCCTTCAATATATGCCTCCTACCAAATTAACTGCTGAGCCACATTTAAAGATACTGCCAAGTGTAGCACTATACCAAAATGTTACGTACAAAAAAAAAAACACCAAAACCAAAACAACACAAAAAAACCCCACTTCAAAAGTTCTTAAATTTTCCTTGCTTAAGCCCAAACTCTATAACAACATATACATTTAACGAGGATATTCTTGTAGGACTTTATAAATAAAGTACTATTACTATTAACTTTAATTCTCTAACTATAAAAACTCTTTTTAGTAAGGTTAAATTAAACATAATTTCAAATTATTAGTGTTCAAGGAGTAAAAGTTAAACTGAAAAACTAATATTAGTAAGATAAAACCAAAGTAGTTGCTTTTATGCTGATACATCCTGTGTTAATACAAACGGCACTTTAATGATCAAACCAACCTCTGATGTACTCCCTTTTATGTTATGCATTCAATGCATTCCAGCATTTTAAAATAGCCAACTCCAATTTTTTTAAAATTATGCAATTTTGTTCTTTAATAACCAAATTTAAATTGTGTTTAAATCTTTGGTAAGTTCCTGGAGCTAGTCCCAGCTTCAAGGGAAAATTCACAGACTTGCAAATCCAACACCAAGCGACTAACATGATTTTATATTCAGAAGCTGGCCCGGGACAAAGCTATTTGGGTCCATCTTCAATAGGTAGAGAAGCTATGTTTTTAACTTGAATTAATATAAGGTAAAATCATAAAGGAGAGTAGGAAGCTTGTAATTTCCACACAGGCTTCCAGGTCAAGGTAGGAACACACTATTATCATTGGGAATAAGATACTGCACTGCTAGAAAGAGATGACACCCAGGTGACACACCCAAGAAAACCATCCAGCCGAAACCCAATTTTGTTGCATCAGTGTCCCAACTAATGAGTTTGAAAAATTAAAAAGAAAGTAACAAATCGCTGTTAACTAAATTATACCTTAATCTTAAAAGAGGTTTACTAGTTGCTTTAGCTGCAAAGAATGTCCTACAGCATTTGCTCAGCAGTGAAAACACTGAAACCTGTCAGACCTTGTTTCCCATGACCAAGTGTTCTTGTTCAGTGTTTTCCCCAAACATACTCAAATATCAGTACCTTTAAAATAACATTTTTGTATATTCCTATAGACATCTACCTGATGCATTAACTTTTCATGAAAATTTAGGTAAAAGGGATCAAATTCATATATCTGTTCTCATGACCTTTAAAATTAACAATCTACCACAAACAACCATCCACCTTCATAAATTTTTCACCAATGAAGTTTGAAAAAATAGAGCAAGGAAAAAACACAATGTAGGGAGCAAACAGCAACAACAGATGACAGCACAAGAACTGAATCAACCGAGGAACTGGGCAGGGGAATTTTAAGCACTTCTGAAGGTGTGCATTTTATCCAGACCAAAGCCACATTTTCAGCTGCAGTCACCTACGGTCACTAACACAACGCACTCAGCCCAAGATGCATTCTCTGCTGGTTTACCTGAATGCCTAAACCAGCCAGAAGTATCACAGGCAGAATCAATTATTTTATAAGCCTGCTCCCACTGCTGTCATTCCCGAGTCCTACCCCTTTCCCCAGGCAGACTGCCAGTACCACCACGCGACAGAGGCAGGTACCTCTGGCCTCTCAGCAGACGCAGTCACGCGACTGGGCAAAAGTCAAAGCACACGAGCAGTCGAGCACCAGACAATGCTCCCCATAATCACATCAACCCACGTTTCCCTAGGCATAAAAATTTACATTTCTAATAAAATAATTAACTTTTTATTTTTAAACTGACATTCTTTGCAAATATATAAAACTGATTAAAATTTGTGAGTTCAATTGATCGAACGCTTGTTCCAGATCACTTTCAGAAAAGCACAACTCGCATTCTACTGATGCACAAGCATTATCCCCATCATTTGCCCTTCAGTATTCACTCACATATGTTATCACAGAGCTTCTCATATATAAAAATGGTTCAAGTGAAAGACTTATACAGTCTGAAACTAGCTTTAACCTCATTGCCTAGCTCCTTCCAAAATTTCAGAATGCTGCTATGCAGGAAATTCATTATTTTACATAACAGCAGAAAAAGGCAATAAATGGGAAAGTACTGCAAACAAATTATCCAAAGTCCAGTCATTACCTTAGAGACTTAAATCCTTCAAATGAATAATTGAGGAGGAATCACTGCAATTCAAAAGGCCAAATTTTGTCATAAGGACTAGTCATGTTACCTAAAGCAGGGAAAGAGGGAGACACTTCCTTCCAACACAGTTGGAAGGAATTTTCAGTACTGCTTGATCTACTTTGTGCATACCATTTTGTTTCTCTTCAACAAACCCCCAGACAGCTTCTTCAGCTGCTGCTAAGATACCAAACACCTCCTCTTCTTGCAAGCATATGGAATTTCCTACCAAATTCATGCTCAAATTTTAAATGAAGAATATTCAAGTAATCCATTACTATTAAGAGAACTAGGCATTCCCAGAAACACAAGCACCTCTGTAGTCTTCAGAGCTGATATAACATAAAACTGTGCTATTTATTGGTAGCTCTGTATTTGTCTAGATTTAAAAAGGAATAGCACAGCAGACTTCTGCTAAGGCAACAGAGAAGATACCCAGGACCTTTTCACGTCTAGCCATGTTATTTTTCATTTGCAACTAAGCACTTTAATCATCACTACTTGTCAGGAATTTGCTGGCATAACCAATACAACATCCTCCAGTTTTTACAGTTGCAGCAAATAGTGTCCCAACAAAAGGGGAACAAGAGATACATAGTTAATCACATCTGAACACACACAATAGTACAGGGTTTGAACACCAAGACACACGTTAGACAATTCCCTGGGAAGCCATGCAGTAGGTACTGAAAATATTATTATGGTATTCCAAACTGAGCTATGCACATTACACCCTGCTTCAACTAAGTGATTCAGAGGTGGGTGGTTCTATGGAATTAAAAGTTCAATATCAAGAATAGCTGCAATAAGATCAAATGTAATGATGTATGAAATTGCATATAACTTTATAGCACAGAATGAAGAAGCATAAGAGAACTCAGAAAAGGACTAAGAGTGAAAAAAGTTCACACAAATAATAGATCCTTTACACAGAAAAACAAAACATTCCAGAAATAGCAATACAAGGACTCTTTCACTGTAGGGCAAAGATGACTCAAAATAACTTATTTTGAATTATGAAATGGAAGGAAGATTATTTCTCATACAAATCCCTTCGCTGCCCTTCAAGTAGAGAGCTACAAAATAAAAGCAATATCACCTGTGCTCGTCTACTACCCAATTCCACCTACAGATGACCAAACATATTCAGAAACAAAGATCTCACATACTTATGTTTTAAAGTTATGTTGAAATTTAACAAATGGATGCTTCATTTAGAAATACCCGATGAATGCTCTTTATCCCCCGTGAATATGTAATCCTGTGTGAGCTGGCACTGGCAACCTTCACACACAGATAACATGCAAGGTTATGCCCCCACACTGATCTTTCAACCTTCTCCACATTCTACCAATACAGGCAGTGTTAAAGTATGAAGCCAGTACTTCCCCTCATAACAGAATCCCTATACGGATGCTCTTTCAAAATTCCATAAAGCCCAAACCCATAAAGCATCCAAAAAAACCATCCAAAAGCACATTCCATTTTAGTGCTCTCCAATGTATTTTCAATTTCAGAACTGTAGTTTACTAGAGTAAATTCAAACTTACACTTTTGAAGACTAAAGCCCTGTTACTAAGGCAAATATTATTTACGTTTAAATTTTCCTTGTGTTCATTTAACTTTCTTGAAATATCATGTCAGGTCACCTATATAACATGGAAGACCCTCTTTTCCCTCCTCTATAGTATCTATACCTCTATAGTATGAATTGTCTACTATTCCTATGTTTTTCTTTCAGTATTTTCAGTTACAATGTTATCAATGTTATAAAAATATACCATTCAATAATCTGTAAAAGTCGATTCTGTAATAAATCTGGTACGGTATCTGTGCCTTCGACACTAATTCTAGACAATTTGTTTGAAAAATACGTTAATAAGTACAGCACCTTTAATTTATTAAGGTAGCGCCTTGTGTGAACAACCAAGAGATCTTCATCAGTAGCTTCCCGTGCCTGTACAATCAAGTCATCTGCAATTAGTTTTTCCTCTGAAACAGGAGAAAAATAACAATTGGCATTGTATACCATCTCTTAACTTCCCATATTCCACCCTGCCAAAGAAGCTAATTTTACTTTGATGTAATAACTTCACCTGTAATGTAAAGAACTGAAACAACTTTTGTTTACTCAGTGTTTACAAGTTTTCCAAATACATACCATCTCTACACATAAACTATTAAGGTAGTGTGCATATGATAAATACTGTTTACAGGAAGTTTTCAGAGTGTAGTCATGATAACCTCTTGTTTACACTGAAAAAAAAAAGACAGACACGTAGTAAAAAAGGATGGACAGACAAAAGAATCCCAGGACTCCTTACAGTCTAGGGCTTGACACACTGGGGAAATCTTGGTGCTCATACCATCAAATATTCACAATTCTTTAACATGCTTTAAGAAATTCCACAGTTGATACTAGTATTTAATTCCCTAAATTAAAGGAGAATTAAAAAAAAAAATCAAAGCAAAATAATTGCTTGGATGCTTATAGAAGTGAATTTTTACTTAAGATATTTCTGTCACACCCCTACCTACATTTAATTTCAAGAAATTAGCTGGTCATCAGTATTAATTATTCCCCTTAGAGACAAAAAGATAAGCTTATTTAAAAACCTAGTTTTATAAGAGCAAGTTACAAAATATCACTCCAAGATTTCAGAATGTGATCAAAGATAATACTTGCCAGAAAGCTCATGTCAGGGTCAACTAAAAAAGCCAAGCACTGCAGAAAAACAACGTTGCTTTGCTATGATTGCTACAAACTACAAACACAAGGCATCATGCTGATCTTCTCAGACAAATTTTTATATTTAATTTCTGCACGGCTGCAGCTTTCTAAGACTGTACCTTTTCTCCAATTTTATACTTGGAGGAGGTAGAAAACAACTCACAAATGTGAGAGATTTTGTTCTGAAGTGTTATACAAGAACAGCACCTGCAACAATATTTGTTTTGGCAAGCTTACGTTTCTCCTGACTGAGGCTTGAGAAACATTTCATTCATTCACTGGTGTCAGACAGAAAGCCAAACAGTTAACAGCTTCATTCTTGAGGAAGGAGAAGGTAAGTGTAGAAAGATTTTCACTGGTGATTTTCTAGAATATGATGGGGAACAGTGTAGGTCAGCTGCTGACAGGAGTTGCTAGAGAGCCAGAGAAAACCAAGAGCACCCTGGGGTATCCTGTGGCTTCTTTCTCCTTTACAAAGCAAGGAGAGTAAAACAGTTGGGAAAACTAATTTTCTGTACAACACTGAGAGTAAAGAGTGGACGCTTCACACAGAAAAGAGCTAGAGGGAAAGACTTTAGACAGATAAGGAGAAGAAAGGGAAAGGTTTTAATTAATAAGGAAAACAGTCATGGAACCCAAAACTTAATTATTTAAAGTTGCTAGAGAGAAGATCCAAAACCCAGCTGCTAAGTGGAATGTTAGAATTTAACTGACATTAAACGCATACAAGGCAGCCTGAAGTTGAAAGGGCAATACTTAACTGCAAAAGATCATCAGTTGAAGGAGTCATTAGGACCACATAAATGGAAGAGGCCTGGCTCTTGGACAATCTTTGTCTTGGCAAGAGAAAAAGCCTTTTTTTTTTTTTTTTTTTGGTAATCTGATGAGCAAGTTTAAACTTCAGATGAAGAGATGCCAAGATTTTATAGGCCCTGATCCTAACCTTGGTTCTTATGCTTGTATTTCCTTAATGTATATTTCTGCCTGTATCTTCCCATTTGTTTAAACAGCAATAAAGAGGACCATCACACAAAGTTTTGCCTGTCACCAGAAGCATCTCAAAGGTCTTCCCAAACATTATCAGAATACTATCATGAGGTTGATAAAGAATGGATTTATACAAGCTGCACTTATCTTTCAGCCAGAAAAGCACCATTTGCCAGTAGACTGTCTGCAGTCTAAGCTGAGCAACTATATTATGTCCCACAGCAAGCTGGTCATTAACACCTGTAGTTTCACAAGTCACAATTAATGCCTCAGTCTTTGCTACACCAGCTGTAAAGTAAAGGAAGCACAAGGCTATAAGAAGCCATACACAGTACTCCCAAACTGCAATTCGGGTCTTGTAAGCCAAACTGTCCGTAAACTTGCAGCTAACATAGGATTTTCCATCCATTGCTACAAAACTGAAGTATGCTGTCTTTTAGATCCAGGCTTGCTCCTCGAAAGAAAGAAGAAACTGCAACTGTAAAGAACAGCTATCCTCAAGAGGAAACTTAAAGGAAATATTGTTCTCATACGTTCATCTAAAACTGAAAGAAAGTGTTTGAATCGTTAAAAATCTTGAGTATCAAAATACAGCATGCTGAGCTACATCCACAAGGCTCTAGCATTCTGCACATAACTGAAAGGTGAGATTGTGGTGCTCCCTTCAGAGGCGGAAACAGTTCTTAAATATCCCACATGAATGCTTGTGAAGGCCAAGCAATGAAATCCTGCTCACTTCATGCTTTCACTCAGATCACAAAGACCAGAAATATTTGAAGATGGTCTAAGACATTGCCATGCTCATATTTCTCCTTCCTCCTTTTTACTCACTGTCTTGTAAAGCTCCGAGCCAGACTGAAATGAGCCAAACTAGTTACTCTGACTAGTATTATCCATGCCTCTGGAGAGAGCAAATTATTTAATAAGCTCAATTTCTCAATCGTATTTTACGAGTTTCGCTCTGCACAGACACCGTAACTGAGCTGAAACCAAAACTGTGGGCTTATTTAGTGGAGTGGGCTAGAAACTACTGTGAAAGGACTGTGAAACAAACATTTGTATTAAAAAGCCCTGGTGTAGGATGTTTGCTCTAACATTACAATTTCAACTTTTAAATCCTTCATAGACAAGATCCTCAACAATGTGTAACACTTGACATCCAACACACCTTTGAAATCCTACAACCAATTTAACATGCTAAGTCTGCAAATATATAAGAATACTAAAGCACTCCAGATATGATTAAAGAGCATCGCTTAAATCTACACAATGAGCAATGAAAATGTACAGTCACTATTATATTGGCAATTATTAACATAAGTCTGCACTAACTACATAATCACTACTAGCTTTTGTGCAAATATTGGTCTAAGAGGTACCTTCTGTTATTTTACCTTTCAAGAAATTGATTACTTTTCCCCATTTCCCTGCATCGAATGGATGCAGTTTCTCAAGTCCCATGAATGTGATGTTGTAGTCTGGAGAATATACGATAGGCCAGCATGCTGATGGAGGATCCTCATACAACACAGTTCTGTGAGGCCTTGAAAAGCAAGAAACAAACTAGTCACCATTTTTAGCAGCTATTTATAAAGTTGAAAGTTTTTCACTAAAATCTCAGATTACAAATTAGAGCCCTTATTAATACCAACTTTACATTAGGAACTATTCTGAAGATGCTATTTCCAGCGGATACTGAAGGAAACACTTGGTTGTTTAACTGCTCCTCAGCAATAGGGTCAGGGCGGGTAACACCCCTCACTTCCAACCAGTGCAGTTAAACTGTTGAACTAACCAGTAGTGGGGAAAAAAAGAATAACTGAAGAATGTACATTAATGAATTATGCATATGTAGTTCATTGCAGACATTAATTAATAGAAAGTTGCTTCTCTCCCCTCGTCTCTCCAAGTTCATCACGCAGCACCTCTACCTTAGAAGGTGCATCCAGTTTTACAGAAAATATAACTGTCAACAAATACATGACTAGGCTCACATTTTAAAGTCTGTATCAAAACACAATTGAAAAAAACAAATCACACTGCTCCTACACATGATGCTTGTAACAACACAAGGCTGGACAGATTTCTATGATCCTTCCTAGGAGCAGCAGATTACTTTGTGACCAGCTCAGCAAAAGTAAAGAGGCTTGGTTTTGTATCTGCATAGCATACAACCACAGGCCGTACTCTCAACTCTGGATCTCATGCCCATAACCCTTAAACAACACTTCCCTCTACCCCTCCTCCAAATTCTAGTATTCTTCCAATACAAGGAGAGACAGCACAGCCAGCTCCAAATAGAAGAAGAGACAGCATAGCAGCTCAGAGCCCTCCTTCACATCCTGCTCACAGAACAGGCAAGCAATGCTGCGCACTGCGTTTGCGAACGCACACGCAGAATATTTGCAGATACCTGGGCGCACACTGGGCTGACAGGCAGGCCAAAGCCAAGAGGTGATTCTGTGTTCACACCCGGCCTGTTCCCCCGGCGGTGGCCTCCACCCTCTGCCCCAAACCCCGTGTGTCTGGGCTAGGATGAGACCTCTCTTGCGCCCAAAATTTAGTCAAAGTCTTCAAAATGCTTCGCAACTTACTGAGCAAGACAGAAGGGTCTATTGTCAGGTGAACAATACAAACAGAAACCCCTTTCTTTCCAGCCTAAATATGCTCAAAAATGCCCTTTTAAAATCCAGTTAAAAACAAAGCAAAAACAAATAAAAAACCCCACAAAGACAATGGAGGTTTTTCAGCAGAGACCGCAGCCCTGATGCCCACACGCCACCCACAAACAGAACAAGGGCTCCCTGGATCCTTCCCTCGTCCCACCCCGCAATAAAAGGCGGCTCTTGTCCCAGGTGCTGCGCCGGCCCGGCCGCTGCTCCTCTCCCCGCCTGTCGGCGGGGCCCGGGGGCTGAGGGAAGGGCACGTTTCCCGGGCTCTCCGTCCCGGCGGCCCTCGCCCCGCTGGCAGCGGGTCACCCCACCCCCCAGGCCCCGTCGGGACCGGAGCCAGGCGACCCCAGCGCCCGCCCGGGACGAGCTCCGGCTGCAGGCGGGGCGGGGGCAGGGGCGGCCGGGCCCGAGGAGGCGAAGCGGCGCTGCCGCCGGGCAAGGCCTCCGCAGGGCCCAGGCGCCGGCCGGGCCCTCCCGCCGCCCCGAGAGCCACCTCCCGCCGGCGGAGCCCGCCCACCACCACCCCCCCCCGGCGCGGTACTCACATCCCCCCGCCTGCCGCAGGTACACCGGCCAGACCGCGCAGGGCTCGGCCCGGCACCGCCAGCCCCCACCGCCCCGCCCCGCCGCGGGGCGGAGACACGGCGGGGCCGGGCGGGGCGGCGGGCGCGGGCCCCGGCGGGAGCCCCGCGGGGGGCGGCTGCAGGCCGGAGGGGCTCCGGCCGCCGGGGCGAGGCCGCTTGCAGGGAGCGGGCGGAGGGGCGGCTGTCGCGCGCGGAAGGGCCGGGGGAAGGGCTGTCGCAGCTCTGGGGAAAAGCTCCTAACGCCATCCCACGCGTGGGCATCGTGAGGGACGGGAGGCTGCCAGAGCAAGCCCAAAAGGCGTTTGATAAAGGGGACTGGGAGGCGGCAGAAAAGCAGTTGGTCTAGCGTTGGGGGCGTTAGAAAAGCTCGACCCTAATATTCTGATTTTTACATCAGCAGCTGCTGTGATTTTTTTATCAAGGGCCTCAACGCGATTCCATGCCAACACTAACTTTGGATGGGAAAATGTGATTTTCGTTACAAAATAAGATTAACAGAACACCAGTAGGTGAAGAGACATAGCAGGTCAGCAGCAGAATGAGATAAAAAAAAAAAAAAGGTGAAGTAGTGATATTATCTAACTGAGCAGCAAAACTCCCACTGATTTTGTCAGGTCAAGATTCACCCCGGGAACATCATCCCTAAATTCAGGCACCCAATAAAAATAACCTAGTTTCAAGTCAAAAGCCAATTTCTAAGTGTACTTTATGAATCCTGCTTGAATATATACAAAAAGCATTTCTTATGCAGTTGTACAGCTAAATCAATAATACCATCATGAAAAACAGTCCATCAATAGCAGGGGTATCTATCAGACCAAGGATAAATGTACAGAAGCACTCTTTTCTCAGGAGGAGTGATGTCTCTTTATGAGTTTTAGATAAATGTCTTTCTTCTTAAAATATGCTGGCTTTGGCTTGGCATTCAGTTCTGATGGATGCCTGGACCTGGATTTCACCTCAGTATTTATTTAGCAGCGGGAGACTGTTATCCCAGGAAAACATTCTATCCCTTTGACATTATCTTTTAATTAACATTTCTTTTTGTTCTGGCCCTTTGTCTGGTGCTTGCCTCAGAATTAGTTCAGCATATCTACCTTTTATTCCTTGTTTCTGACTACATAATGCTTGGTGCTTAATTAGAGTTTGAGTGTTGTTTGGTTAACTAGATACAAGCATAATGTGTTCTTATTTAAATTAGCTTTGAAACTTAAATTAAAAATAAACCTGCAGACTAGTTTCCATATTTGTTGGATGTTGTAAATTGTTTCTTGTGTGCACTTTCCCATTAATCATTCATATCTGAACTATACCACCTAGACTTGTCCACATGGAAAATTTGCTTAGTCATTCCTTTTTTCACCACCAAAAATCAAATCAGAATATCTGCTTTTCTGTTCTGGCTAGCCATGATGTTTGTTGCTTCCATCTTCTTCCTCTTGTGCCACAGTAAATTGAGTTCTTACCTGCAGGCTGATTCCCCCCAGTAGTACCTTTTCCTTTCTGGGTCAGTGGCTGGGACACGCTCTCTTAGAGGCACCCGGTAAACTGCTGCGCGTATTTAGAGTAATGCCTGCTCACTCTTGCTGGGCTGGAGTACAATTCTTTCTGTCTCCATCAGAAAAAGAAATACGGTCAAAACGTGTACCTATTTCTGTGTAGGACACACTATTTAAGATATTATAAATTAGAAAATAGTGTTTAGAGTATGTATTTACCATTTGAGCATTCCGGGGTTGCTATTCTTGACACTCTCGTGGTTCCGAGGAACTGTAGTCGAGGGCACCCAACACCCGAGAAGCCATCTGCACGTGGGCAGTCCTCACCCCAGGGAGGTGCAGCCCTGCTGCGGAAACATTTACAGGTAGTTTCATTACTGCAGTGTGTTTCTAACAGTTTTTAAACAAACCATATGGGGCATAACTGTTGTTCAGTCTCATCTTTTTTGTGCAGGAAGGTAATTATTTTCTCATAAATTAGGCCCATGATATGCAAGAGAATGACCCGTGATGGATTTTGGACATTCTCTGAGCTCTGGTTTTCTGCCAGCAGATTTATAAAGGCAAATGGGTTAGGAAACCTTACAGTGTGATAGAAGAAACAGAGCTGAGCAAATAATGACATTTTTGGTTCACTCGTCACTCTGAAAAAAAATTTCTGAAGAAAATTTGGGGCTCACATTCTCTTTTACAACATTGCAATATTTAAAACAAAGTGAAATTTCAAGAAAAAGCCAGTCTGTCCTGAAATTGTCTTTTAAATATGTAAGTGAAATATTTTGATTAAAAAAGAAAAAAAAAAGAAAAGAAAAAATCAGACTCAAATAATAAACTTTCAAATTTCTATACATTCACAAAATGTACTGGAATAACTGAATCCATACTTTTGGCTAAAAGATATTTCCTTTGAAAGTTCTGCTGAGTTCTGATGTTCTCTTTACAAATTTGAAAAGCAGGGCAACAAGCATAAGACAGCAGCAAAGACGAGAAGATGACCTAAGTCTCTTAAAATAAAAGCACATTCTCATAACAAGCAGAAAATAGTTACAGACCATACAGAACCCAGCCTTCTCTGTATTTCTTGGAATCCTTCAAAATTAGGCCCCAAATACACCACAAACGTGAGAAAATAGATTAATTACAACCCAGCTCATGCAGTGTACTCATGTTATTTCCCAGCTGATAGCTCTATTTTCCCAAGACAAAGGAAATTTTTTCTGCTTATACCATTTTGCTTCTGTCGAGACAAAGTGCAACTTGAATGGTTTTGACAGTATTATGGATAACGCTGGGGTCCTGTGGTAAGGGACTTTATTAATTGCTGCATACTTGAAAGCACAGGCATATCATTGTTATAATAAATAACCAGCAACCTATTATCTCTCAAGGTTTGGCCTGTTTAACGTGCTCTTCGTCATCCAGGAGATCATTCATCTCATGTTGAATATCATAAAAAGCACCTCTGGGAGGACAGACTGTCTTCCAAAGAGAAATATTTTATTATAATGGGGCTCCAGTTTGAAATTGATTCAGATAATGGCCCTGTCTTTCCATGGAACTCTTTCCAGGCTGTTCACGTGATTAGTGTCTTTAAAGTTCAGGGATCCACTTAGGCGGATCCATTTGAAGATGGGTCCCAGAGTCTGAACTGCTAGTAAAACCAACTTTTAGCAAACAAAAACCAGTCTGACTAATGTCCCATATGAAAGAGACTGGTCAGTTTGGCCTGGCAATAATTGCACCAGTTTATTAAATCTGTTCAAGTAATTTATTGCACATTCCTTCTTTAGGGGAATGAGGGAATTTGGTAAAAGCCCTTAATCAGCTTCTCAACCTCCCGCAGACTAGAAAATGAGTTCTTAGTTCTGGTGTTCCATGATGGTGAAATTACTTAAACATGATGAATGATAAAATATGATAAGGGTTTTTCCATGTCAAGAAGCAGTGAAGTCAGAGACAAAAATCAATGGTAGCAAATTCAAGATACAATGAAAATTAGGAAGATGGGTCCAGACACCCATAACCTCGATCAGTGATGTAACCTTTGGGTCACCTGCCTCACAGGTGAAGCAGTGTGATGCAACTTACGGTATTACTTTAACTTCCTAGAATTTTCGCAGTTACTGCCAGGAGCTGGAATACTGCAAGAGCTGGAATAATCCCAGTAGGTTTGATCAGGTCTGACATGTGCAGCTATCCTCCTCTTCCATAAGGAGTCAGTTTAGCTACCTCCGAAGTCTCACCCCCATCTCTTGCCATGACAGCCTGTCTGTAGGAAAAAAAGCAGTGTGCAAATCAGCTCATTTTGTTTCAGCTGTGAGACGCAAAATATCCTTCCTTAAAGGGTGAGACATCCTCAGGACTGAAATAAGAGCCACATCACAAGTAGTTTGCTTTCAAATTACTTTGAGTTGAGCCTTTTGAAACAGGTAACATGAAGAAATGTGCTACTGAAAATCAGGGATGAAACACTTTTAAAGGAAAATACAGAAAAGAGATTTCTCATTCACACTGGGACTGACTTTTCCTGTAAAAAAATTTAGTAGTAACTCATTACATTAATTTCTACAGAAATTTTAATTAGTGTTTTTCAATGAGAAAATATTTTGAGAGCCTGTGCTACTTTAATCTCTTTGATCCTGAGGACTTTGATCTGCCATGGGGTGACATGACTGAGATCAGGCATTTACTTCCATGGTGTGTAGAAAATGTGAAATTATTGATTCCTGTAGTCCAGCAGAGCAGAAAAAGGTCTGTGCTAGTTATAGCTCAGAAACTGATGCAGTTTGCTTTCCTCGCTGTTGCTCAGAGCAGGTGGAAATGCAAGGCCTGAATATTCCTTAAAGATATCATTATTCTCTTTGCAGTCTTATCTTCACTCTAATTAGCCCAAGTCCTTCTCCCTCACTAAATTACATCTAGCTGAAATCCTCAGTTTTTAAAACAATAGGGCATGATACCACTAACCACTGCTCTGTCTTCAGTGTCATGCAATTTTCAGAATGAGACATGTAGGCTATCGTAACAGAATTCAGATTATACAAATCCCAGCAAGGGTTTATCCAAAATAGACTTTAAATAACCTTTTCAAACTCACTAGAGGGACTCAATGCCTTGAGGCGACGACCAGTGAATGAAGCCATAAGACTTGATTTACTCTCATACACTGTAAACATCCACAAGTCAGTATCAAAATGGAGAAAACTGTATGTAGTACAATGAGGTGCTTTCTGAAGCAAGAAAAGTTTTCAAGCGAGTGATTCATTTGCAGGTCCCTTCAGAGGTACAGCTAGCTACTTAACTGGGGGAACACAAGCACAGGAGTGAAACACAAGTTAATAACACATTCTCTACTATCTCAGATTTGTCTCCACATTAATTGGTATCCATTCTCCC